CGTGCTCACCCTCACCGGCCTGTGTGCTGTCTGTCCACCACGGTTGCCGCTGCCGTCCACCCGCCGGCGCTGTGACACTACACGTGCACCAAGTGACAGCGTGCGCTAGGCCACGAGACATTGTCCCGTCTCCATACACGAGCGTGGAGCGGTGCTCATCTCTCTGTTGGTGGCCAAAGAGACCAGTGAGGAACTATATTCTACATTACCATGGCAGGGCCCAGTCTATCTCTAGGGTGACCGTACAAATCACTAAACCCTTAGATGAGTGCAAAAACACGTTTACAAATTGTTGTTTAATTCCTAATGTACTTGGAGTGTTTGTATTACTATTCTCAATGTGATGATTATCATTATTATGAAGAGGCTGCAATGGGTGGGGCACTTAAACTAAAAAACATAAACGATTTAGATTTTACCAAATAAGGCCTACTGAGCTGTGTATCTCCTTTTCAGAAGCGACCACAAATTATTGCTCAACGACGTGGCTTATGTGGAATTTTATTTCAGCCAAATACTCTAAACGCACGTTGGATTCTAAATGTGGAGGGGAAAACCGGTGGACCCAGAGAAAAATCCACACGTCCACGGGGAGAGAGACGCTGCAAACTCCAAATATACAAGCGGCATGGTCGGGATCGAACCCACGACCTGTACACCAGGCGAGGTATTTAACACTTCGCCACCGTAGCGCCCTCTGCCACACTGCCCACTTGTGCAGGGTGACCCAAGGGAAAAAGGTGGTGGTGGTGACTGAGAGCTGTGGACGTTTGAGGATCGGAGTCCATTGTGCACCAGTCGTGAGGTCTGGCAGAAGCAAGCCGGGTATGGTGCAGTCATTGGGCATTGACCGATGATGATCTAGCAATGTGAATTTGACATCCCACAAGCCGTTGTTAACATCGGAAGCTGTTGCCCGGCCCCGGCACAAACTCAGGCCGCTAAACTAAATCGCCGGCCGTGGTCAAGCCACTGCTGGATGAAGGCCTTCCCAAGCCATCGCCATCTCCCGTGGTGGTGCTGCGATGATATAACAATCCACCCAACACCTGCACACGAGCCGATTTCGTCGCTCCATCTCCACGGTGGGCAGAGGCTCTCTCACGGAGGCGTGGGTTCTGTGCAGGCGTGGGTTTCGTATGGCCGTAGGGCTCGCTTAACAGCACTTGCCCCAAAAGTATGTTAAGGCCTATAGGAGGAATCTTTGTCTTTGTACATACTTATTAAATAACAATTCGTTCAAACCCTTTCCCATCGCGGATCTGGTTACGTTCTTGAAAATAGCCGCAATCGGTACATCCACGATGTTAAACTACATCAAACCGAGCATTAAACAGAACGTATTTTGGATCTAAAATGAGTCACATTTTCCAGCGTTGAATATAACTTGTCCGGTAAATGTATAGAATGAAAAACTAAATCAATCTAAATCTTTATTTAAAGCTTTTGTGACTGCAGGAATTCATACTCTTTGGGTCTTTCGGTAAAGTCACGTAAATAGAAAATAATAGATCACGAGGTTTCGATCGCAACACAAGCAACCGTCTTCAGGTAAAGCAATGGCTTCTCACCTGAAGACGGTTGCTTGTGTTGCGATCGAAACGTCGCGATCTATTATTTTCTATTTACGTGACTTTACCGAAAGACCCAAATAGTAAAATAACACATTCCTGCGGAGGGAGCTGGTAGGAACGTTGGGTTGCTCGGTCAATGGCCAGGGTCAACGGCACCACCACGTGGTGTACTACGCAAATATGCCCGACTGTCAGGACGGGCACAAGCCGGCGTGAAGGGTGGGGACCGAGTGGGGACCTGGGATGGTGGAGAGAAAAAAAAGCTGTTGCTAAAAAGAGTACAATACCCACGAATTGGCGGCTTATAAAGTAGAGATTGAGAGCAGCTGCATACTCCAAACGCATGTTGTTGATTCTCCACGTGGAGGGGAAAATGTCGTGAAGATGGCCGGACGTGGTTGGTGGCCACCCACCCCCACGTGTGTGACGTGGGCCGCCTTCCCCACCCAGCCCCTTCCTCCCCACCCAGTCCCTCCCCACCCAGCCCCTCACCACCCAGCCCCTCCCCACCTTCCCCTCTCCACCCAGCCCCCACCCCTCCCATTTTTTGATGCACGACGGACGGACACAATAATCCTCTGTGGGCTGGTGGTGTAACCAGGAGGTTCCTACAAGTATCAATCTTATGTACAATACTGCAAACGGATACGAGTACAGGAGTAAAAATCGTGCACGGCTTGAACCTCCCTGGAGGCTGGGAACAACGCCGCGTGACCTGGGACCAGCGATGGAACGACGCTTGAGAGATGAGATGGAGACGAGAGGGCCCCGCGTGTCTTCTTCCTTCGGCGGTAGCCTCGTCATCGCGAGCAGTGCAGTTACGAGGCGCCAAGGAATCTCGCGCGGGTCAATCGCGAATGGTCGGGTCACAGCGGCGCGGTCGGCGAATTGCACCTCAATAAATTTGGTGCGAAGCCGCGATGGGAAAACCCCCCGCAAGAGGGAATGGGTTTCCTGCATTCGTTTTTTTTTATTTAAGCCTCGGGTTGTGAGAGCGGTGGATGGACTGCATAGATTCCGACCGTTCCGCTCGCCCCAAAGAGATTTGAATGCGGAGAACGACTGGGGAATATTTTGTGTTTTATTGACCGCAAATATAAGTAACCCCCCCCCCCCCTCACTTTACACAGTGCAACGGGCGCGATACATTCAGCTTTGGGGCTCATGTCCACGATCGCAATGCCAGGAGCACCAGGAGCATCAGGCAGGAACGTCGAGCATGGTTGACTTTTTCCATCGCCACCATCATCATCATCCTTAAATGAGTTTTTGGGTGAGGCCACGTCATGACGCGGTCAAATTAATGTCGTAAGACCCTCCATCATCCGACATGGCCAAACACGGGACAAGATCCAGGCAGAGAGACTAAAACCACGTCACCTAACCCCGGGTTTCTTAAATAGGTGTCATGACATCGCGCGAAAAACCAATGAGATTTAAACTTAGATATTAACCATTATTAATTCAGTGTACTGCAATTGTATTTGCCGAGGTTCCAGATGCATACCACGCCGTGGGAAGTCGACAAGGGTCGCTCTATGGATGAGAGAGGAACTATACTCCTAGACCAGGGCCATCAACGAAAGATGAGCACCGAGGGAGGCATTGCTCGTTTCAGCCCGGAGACGCTTTGAAGCATTTGATGGGTGCGGGTCGCACCCTCCTCGCTCGGGCTTCCGAGGGTCTTTCTTCGCCACGTCGTCTTTAAACGCTTTTAGATGCAAGTGGAAATATCCTGTGCCGCCCCATATCTTGTTTACCAAACGGATTCCCTAAAGCGTGTTCCAAAAAGCCGTTCGTTCGCCTGCAGAAAGCGCTCCATACCGATCACCGGAGGAGACTCCGATCCGTAGCGAGAAGGTTCGTCGGCAGACGTACTAAATGTTATTTTGACTCGGTGATGAGTACACAAATCCATTGACGACAACACAACGCATTTCAATTGTCGCGACGCAGAGATGGGCTTACCTACACTTTACCCCACCGCATGCGACGTGCCGATCGGCGAACCATTTATATTACTGCCGTGCCAGGAGATGGAATCGAACCGGTCACTTCTGGATTGCAAGTCCAGTGTGCTCGCCATTATCAAGCCACGGCAGCTCCCTCAGGAGACGCACGGAAGCCTTGGGTCCCGAAAGCCCGGAGTCACGATCCATGAAATATATTCCCCTCTGTAATTTGTTTGCAATTTACAAAAACTCCAGTTTTCACCATCCACAACCGTGTACCGAGTTTGTGTGCCTACCGCTAACTCAGATTCGCTCAATGTGAGAATATTGGTGGACTGTGATGGGGACAGCGAAAGGTTGTCAGCGGTAGAAATGTCTTTTTACTGACACACACGGTGGCATCGCTGTGCTTTGGGAACGGACTGGATGAAGCCATCAGCCACGCACTACCAACCACAACTTGGAGTCCTTAAGCGCTAGGTTTTTGAAAGGAGCCATGAAAAGTTAAATTCCGCTGAAGGCCTCAAATGCCTTTGTCAGCTGAACGAGACCACTGTATCAGGAATATTTTGCTGGGTTTTTTTTCCATGGATTTTCTGTTTGCACAGTCACACATAGTCACTTTAATATGTTTTTCTTGTTCGTGTTTTTGTTTTTTTTGTTTGTCGTGGTTGCACCCGATTCAAAAGCCGAATGGCTCACAGGGCTATACCAAAATAAATAAACTGAAAACTAAACTGAAAAACAATAAAGAAGACTGAAGATCTCAATTACATTTACAAGACTAACATCTTATATTCCTATTAAAAGTCATGTTTCTCGTCTGTAACTTACAGATTAAAAAAAAAATCTATATTATTACTTAAATGTGCGTAACTTTATACAACTGTAAACTTTTGTGCAAGGATTGGCGTTTAGAGAGGGGGGTGTCAACCCCAAGAGACTCGGTTTAAGTCAACAAAGATGCATTGCATTTACAGTGTGAGAACCCAGCCCAAGTACCAATAACAATAAAACTATACAACAGCAAATACAAATAATAATTATTTTATAAACACAGCGACGGGACAGCGCACTTTGAGAGCTGAACGAGACCACTGTTTCAGTCGCAACTGGAGGAGCTAGCTTTCCGTAAGATGTTTTTTTTGGAGAAAATATCTGCTACTGAATAAAATAACCGGCGAGGTCTGTTGTGTAGTAATAATAATTAAAAACTGCTGACTCGTTCAACCAGCAACGCCGCCACCTACTTCTTCTTAAGCATGATTTTGAATACGTTACTGTACGCGTAATTGCAGACAAACAGCGATTTTTTTATTTTAAAACTGGCCTGTTCACTGTTTTTTTACCCTAACTTTAGATTCACAAAATAACTTTATTTGCCCACCGTAAAATTCCCCCCCCCCCCCATAAAATATGCCAAACAATGACATGATACGAACGTGCAATGAGATCTTTGTGTTTTTCATTGAACTTGCAGAATAAATAATGAGTAAAATTATTAACGAGGTTTTCCTTTCACCGTCCTCTTTACTGCGTTCAGCACAAACAGGACGGCACTACGGGAGCCACTTGAACAGATCTCCGTGAAAACTTGGCGGCTGTCAATTTAACAACGAGAGACCCTCTTGGAGCGGACGGGCGGTTCTCTTCGCAATGCCTCTGAAGCCGAGCGACGGTCGGTTAATCCACATCAAACGCCGCCGGGTTTTGCGGGCTTCGTCCCCGCTTGGGGTTTCACCGCCGTCGTTCACGAGCGCCCCCCACCCCCCCCGCCCCCCCCGCTGGGTTTTCGTGGCCGTTTCGCGGCAACAGCGGGGCCCTCTGTGTTCTCGTGCCTCCTTTCAGACTCACCCCGAGTGCGAGAAACACGGGCGAGGTCACACAATCGACACCGCGGGCGAGGTCTCCCACTACGCGCTGCGACTTGTGCCTCTTGAAATGCCCTTTAACGCTCGCAATACTCACGCGCTCGCTCGCAATACTCACTCGGTCAGTCATTCACTTGCCCAGCCACCCACTTCGCTCGCTCACTCACTCACTCCTATACCTGCTCGCTCACCCACATAGGGAAACACAGCTGGTTCATTCGAGCCATTTTCCCAAGGCCCCGCAGGCCTCGGCCAGGCCACAGCAGGCCACACCGCGAAACCTCCGCGTGCCACACCAAGGCTTCTTGTCTTGAGCGGAGTAGGCACCGCCCTATAGCTCAGACTTCACGACTGCGCGGAGTGGTGGAATCCGTCGCGAGCAGCGATCCGTCGCTGCTTGGCGACCGCCGGCAAGCACGTTCTATGGGAGACCTCTCGGCGTACACGACGGACGTGGCGCTCAAGCCTCGAGCACGTCGGGGGAGTCCTTGATCGATCGCTGTGGAGGAGGAGGACGTGACGCTGGCCGCTTTTACAGGGCCACGCGGCCGCATCGCACCTGTAAGGCGGTGTGTCGGACTGACGATGTCTAGCAATGGCTGGCCACCGAGTCGCTGCCGCTCAACACAATTGTTCATCGGCCATTGTCCAGCGTGTTGTAGTGACTGACCCGGTCACTGCATGCCTAGTTTATCGGCAAATAATAAAATTTAAACAATTCACAGTCCCTTATCAATCCGCTACCAGATGCTGGGTGAAGGCCTCCCCCACACCGTGCCGGTCACTGAGGTTGTTTGACCATACCTTACCACGCTGGTCACTGCAGGTTGGTGAAGACTGGTGGGGGCAGGGCGGGGGGGGGGGGGGTTCAGATGTCACTCGCTACTGATGTGTTCCGGGAATCTAACTCGGGTCGCCGGGTTAACAGCACGGTGTGCCAACCAATGTGCCACCGCTCTGCCCCAAATATCCATTCAGCGACAGCGAGCGTTTTCACGAGCCCACTGACCAACGTCAAACGACCAAACGCCCGCCACTTGCCATCGGCTGCTATCCGGCGCGTAAGCATCCAGCCACCAACAGACACCGGCCCGTCAGCCGCTGTTCAGCGAGCCGAGTCTCTCCGTCAGACGTCAGAATTCAATATCTAAAAATAAAACAGTGCAACGGGTGACTCCTCTCCCCCAGGGCAATCGTTGTTGCTCTTTCGCCAGCATTCAGCACTGGCTGGCTGGCTGGCCGCCAGCAGTCGCACCAGCAGCCAGTTGCGCGGCAAGCGACGGTGGCGACGCTAAAAGGGTGCTGGCGTTGGCGGTGGCTGGCGGCGGTCGTGTCGGTGCCTCGGGCTAGCGGCACTTGCAGGACTTGACGAGCATGTTGGACAGGTGCGTGACCGTCTGGTTGCGTCCCTTGTAGTAGAGGATGGTGAGAGACTCCAGCTCGTCGGGCACGCAGCAAGGGCTGGCCGATGCCGCCGGATTCATGGTGTTGTACAGGCCCAGCACCTGTGTGCACAGGGGGGGGGGGGGGGGGGGGGTGGGGGGATCACATGCACACGTGGCATCAGATTCCCACGTTGAGTGTGTGTGCTGCTGGATGCTGAAGAAGCTCACTACAATGAGCGGAAGCGCCGTGCGGCTAAAACACAGCAACTTGGCACGGTAGGGGACACAGGTGGTGGTGCATCTGCCCAGTCGTCTCAGTCCGTCAACCCGTGGCACCTGGGTTTGTACCATGACCTCCTGCCAGCAGCGGGCGTTTGACACTTCACGTGGCCTTAAAGTGCACATAGCCTGGCACAAGCACCGAGGTGACTTCACCGCCACGGGGGAGCTCTGCCCGTGTCTCAGTGCCAATGCTAACGGCACTTGCCCCAGCACTCTGTGTGGGCTACACGGGGGACTTCTGCCTGTGTCTCACCGTGCTGTGCTGGGTGTCAGAGCTCCACAGGTAGGGGCAGGGCCCCGCGCAGTAGTTGGCGTAGTATCCCTTGGGCTCGTGGATCCACTTCCACTTGAGGTCGCGCCTGAAGTCCACGTAGAGCTGACGCAGGCAGCAGTTCCGCTCCTTGTTGCTGCGGGGGCGGGGGGGATTTAGAGTAACAGTGTTCACCTGCGTGCGCATGTAGATGTGTGTCTGTATGTGTGTGGCGTGTAGATGTTTGTCTGTATGTGTGTGGTGTGTAGATGTGTGTCTGTATGTATGTGGCGTGTAGATGTGTCTGTATGTGTGTGGCGTGTAGATGTGTCTGTATGTGTGTGGCGTGTAGATGTGTCTGTATGTGTGTGGTGTGTAGATGTGTGTCTGTATGTATGTGGCGTGTAGATGTTTGTCTGTATGTGCGTGGCGTGTAGATGTGTCTGTATGTGTGTGGTGTGTAGATGTGTCTGTATGTGTGTGGTGTGTAGATGTGTCTGTATGTGTGTGGCGTGTAGATGTGTCTGTATGTGCGTGGCGTGTAGATGTGTGTCTGTATGTGTGTATCGACTGAGCGGGAGTGTAGCTGTTAGCGCGCTGCGCTACAAACCTGGCGACCCGAGTTCGATTCCCACTCACGCCCAACATCGGTGACGATTATCTTAAGTGGTCCTGGGCCTCCCCTAGATCGACTCAGCCTCAAATGGGGAGACAAAGGCGGCTGGGCGTGGTGCTGGCCACCGACCCCCGAGCGAGCCGTTCTGGCCATCATAGGTGCTCTGCTAACAGCACTTGCTCATACAGTTTGTTAAGGCTATACGGGGACTCTTTGTCTTTGACTGAAGAGGTTGACAAATGAGCACCTGATGTGGTGTAAACATCACCACTGGGGAGACAAAGGCGGCCGGGCGTGGTGCTGGCCACCCACCCCCTTGTGTGCCTTGCCGGCCTTCATAGGCGCTCGCCAACAGCACTTGCCCCAACAGCCTGTTAAGGCTATACGGGGGATCTCCGTCTTGTGTTTCGCAGTCAGTGTATCCGCGAGTGTGTCGATGCGTCACTGCGCGTCTGTGACTGTGTCCGCGAGCGTGTCGCCGCGCATCTACGCCGTGCGGTTCACCTGAAGCAGTAGTTTTCATCGAGCGCCCTCCTCCTCCTCCTCGTGCTCGTGCCCCCATTGCCCTGCGCCGTCGCGTCTCCACCCTCGTCGCTGCGCCCGGGCGGGTCGAGCCAGAGCAGCAGGTGTGGAGTGAACCTCTTCTGCGCCGCGCCCACCACGGGGCCCATGTCCCAACGCTCGTTCTCCTCCGACTGCCCGTCTGCGCCACGGCGGGCGGAGTGGGGAATGGCCACACACACACACACACGGGGAACCACGAGCACCCACGGGGGCATACACACAGGGACGTACACGAGGACGCACAGGGCACAAACACACGGGGGAAACGGAACCTGTATCAGCATTCGTTGGCGTGCTGCTGCGCTACGAACCTCTGAACCTGCGTCTGTGTCGATGTGTGTGCAGTGTACGCATGCCCTTATCTGCGCGTATTTGCACGCGCGCATGTCTCGGCCTGCGTGCGTTTGCCTGCACGTGTCTGCCCGTGTGTTCGCGTGTCCGCGTGCGGGCCTGCGTCGCGGCACCTGAGAACACGGCCTCGAGGACCTCGGTGCGGTTGAGGATGCGGCGCGAGGCAACGTCGAACGTGGTGCAGGGGCAGTGCACGCTCAGCTTCAGCGCAAACGGCGCGGCTCCTGTGCGAGGGGGGACACGCGCGGCTCTCTCAGTACGGCACGCGGCAGGAGGCCGCCCGCCACCCACCCACCCCCCCAACACAAGCCCCTGCCACCCCCCGCCACTCCATCACGGTGCTCGCGACGAGTCATGAACTAGCGCTGGACGTTCCACGTTGCGCCGTGACCGCTCATTTCCTACAAAGTGGGATGATTGACGATTGGACGATGGTGTTGTTGCTGATGGGGTGATGGCGATATTGAAGATGGGACAGTGGTGATGTTGATGGGACGATTATGATGATGATGATGGTGGAATGATGATGATGATGAGACGATGATGATGTGGATGGGATGTCAACTCTTGAAATCCCGATCGATTGTACGTATGCATGTTCTTTCGCACCGCACGTAGCCAAGAGTGCTAATCGAAGGTGCGGGGGGGAGGGAAGGAACAACAAACTAAACACAACAAGCAGCTCTAAAGAAATTCGTTTTAAATCTAGATTTTAAAAAAAATCCAGTTCACTGCCTACAAAGGCAACCCAAGAGCCGGTGCCCAAAGCAGCGAGCGGTGGTCAGCGCCGGGCGCTGCTTTTCGCCGACATGCACGGGGATGCCGCCGTCCCCGCCGCCGCCACAGCAGCAGCAGCAGCGCGTCTCACCGTCGGCAGCGGCCAGCCGCTCTCGCAGGGCGGAGGTGACGTCGAAGGAGACCCACTCGGGAGGGTCGCGGGGACGCATGGTGCGGCTCGCGATGTAGCGGCCCGGGGCGCCAGGGGCCTCCGCCACGGCCTGCACGCGCACACACGTCACGGACACACACACACACGTCACGGTCACACACACACACGTCACGGACACACACACACACGTCACGGTCACACACACACCTGGGTTACACACACACGTCACGGTCACACACACCAGGGTCACACACACGTCACGGACACACACACACACGTCACGGTCACACACACGTCACGGTCACACACACCAGGGTCACACACACACACGTCACGGCCACACACACACACACCAGCGTTACACACACACACCACGGTCACACACACACACCAGGGTCACACACACACCAGGGTCACACACACACACACCAGGGTTACACACACACACCACGGTCACACACACACCACGGTCACACACACACCAGGGTCACACACACACACACACCAGGGCTACACACACACACCACGGTCACACACACCAGGGTCACACGCACCACGGTCACACGCACGAGAGTTCCACTTTAGAGTTGCGTATCACGGTTATACGTCACGCAATAATATATTTTCAAATCCAAAGTGTATCCCTGCTCAAACGAGTGTTGGGCAGTGAGGACTCAGCGAGGACTCGGTGGGGACTCAGTGGGGACTCGCTGAGGACTCGGTGAGGACTCAGTGAGGACTCAGCGAGGACTCAGCGAGGACTCGGTGAGGACTCAGCGAGGACTCGGTGAGGACTCAGCGAGGACTCAGCGAGGACTCGGTGAGGACTCAGCGAGGACTCAGCGAGGACTCAGCGAGGACTCGGTGAGGACTCAGTGAGGACTCAGTGAGGACTCAGCGAGGACTCAGCGAGGACTCGGTGAGGACTCAGCGAGGACTCAGCGAGGACTCAGCGAGGACTCAGTGAGGACTCGGTGAGGACTCGGTGAGGACTCAGCGAGGACTCGGTGAGGACTCAGCGAGGACTCAGCGAGGACTCAGTGAGGACTCAGCGAGGACTCGGTGAGGACTCACTCAGCACTCAGTGAGGACTCAGTGAGGACTCGGCGAGGACTCATTGAGGACTCAGTGAGGACTCAGCGAGGACTCAGTGAGGACTCGGTGAGGACTCAGTGAGTCCTCACTGAGGACTCGGTGAGGACTCAGCGAGGACTCAGCGAGGATCGCGCGTGTCTCTCGTGAGTGCTGGCGACCTGGAAGAGCTCCACGCGCTGCTCCTGATTCCGCGTGGCCAGGTTCGCCTCCCGGTGCACGCGCAGCTCGGCACGCACGAGGCGCGCTCCGTCCGCCAGCAGCGAGCGAGTGTCGAAGCGCAGCATCTTGAAGATGGTGCCCTGGTCGCTCTCTGAGATGCAGCGGCAGCGGGAAGTTAAAACACGTTCACCTCGTTGTCACTTCATCGACACCCACTTTCAGATAATTACCTCATCGATACCCACTGTCACATCATCAGAAATGTATTATCACCTCATCAACAGTCACCTCATCGACACCCATTCTAACATCACCTCATAAACACCCACTGTTTCCTCGTCATCACCTCATCGACGCGCACTGTCACATCATCAGAATTTATTATTACCTCATCGACACACATTGCAACATCACCTCATCGACACGCACTGTCACCTCGTCATCATCACCTCATCGACACCCACTGTCACCTCATCAACAGTCACCTCATCTAGTCACCTCATCAACACCCCCTGTCACCTCGTCATCATCACCTCATCAACACCCACTGTCACCTCATCAACACCCACTGTCACCTCATCAACAGTCACCTCATCGACACCCACTGTCACCTAATCACCGTATTAAAACCCATTGTAACATCACCTCATCATCATCACCTCATCAACACCCACTGTCACATCATCATCACCTCATCGACACACATCGTCACCTCATCATCACCTCATCCCAGAGGCAGTTCAAGTGCAGCTCGGGGTAGAGACACGTGGCCGATCATTTTCGCATTCCACTCGCCACGGGAAACAAACAAAACAAAATCTGCGGAAGCTCGGGACCAGAGCACTCGCAACGCATCGCGGGTGACGCACTTCGGGGACGCTGCCGCAGATTTCTAGATGATAAACTCCGGGGTCTCCCCGCCGCCCCCTCCCCCCACAGGCTCGACGGCTCCACGTGGGCCACACGGCCAGACGGAGATGTTGGTTCGTGGGGTCACGGCGAGTGTAGACCACCGTCGGGGGTAATCGCTGTTAGCGAGCACCTATTGAGGAGGCCGGCGCTGCGGTGCGTGTGGCTGCTTGGGTGGGTGGCCAACTCGGCGCCTGCCGGCGTATTCCGCCCGCGCCCAATGTTCAACGCAATCTCTAGATTTGAAGTTTTCGTGACTGCAAGAATCCATATTCTTTGGGTTTTATTTTTTACCTACGTGAATTTAACCGAAAGAACCAAAGAATATGAATATCAAGAATCTCATATTCTTGGTTCTTTCGGTCAAGTCACGTAGAAGGGAAACAAAAAAATATATAAAACAATATATTTTATTGTTTCCCTTCTACGTGACTTTACCGAAAGAACCGAGAATATGAATCCATGCAGTCACGAAAGATTTAAATCAATATTTAACCAAGAATCTCGTTGAAGGTCGACTCAAACCCACGAAAGGGAGTGGTGATGTGGGTGGGATGAAGCCAAACGTTGACTATTCTCGTAGCAAGGGAACCAAGCGGTCACTGGATTCTTTCAGCGAGCCGAAACCCCGCCACGGCGGACGATGTTGTGTACAGTGCGCACAGATTGCGAGAGAAAGGCCAAGAGGGGGATGTTTGACCCCCCCCCCCCCCCGTCTCAATGGGTTTAATTCATCTGCTGGTTAAATACGGGAGACCGAAATTAATGACACGCGCGCAGTCATAGATGGCTGAGTTTAACACTCGAGCACGGCAAGGTTCCACCAACTATAAACTCTGCAGCCTAGGGCATTTGCCCTATCGCACACTAAAATACATTCAAATTAATTGATACAAAAATAATCGTGACAATATCTACTTCACATATCTGCCCCTACGCGTAAAAAAATCATTAACATTTACATTTCCCGCAAACAACGCAAGCCTTTTGGGGTGGTACGTAATTTCATCAGCATTGGTTCAACACGAGCACGGATCTGGACCGGTTTCGACACTCGGGATCTCATCAGCAGCAGTGTCAGGCTTGCTCACCGCCTGGCAATGCTGGTGAGCTGCCAGATGTTTATAGCCAAGGAAGTTCTCTCTTAGAGGGGTTAGGGTTTGGTGGCTCATCGTGATGTGTTTGGGGTTCGGGTTTGGTGGGTCATCGTGATACTGTGTTGTGTTTGGGGTTAGGGTTTGGTGGGTCATCATCATCTCACTGTGTTGTGTTTGGGGTTAGGGTTTGGTGGGTCATCGTGATAATGTCTTGTGTTTGGGGTTAGAATTTGGTGGGTCATCGTGATAATGTGTTGTGTTTGGGGTTAGGGTTTGGTGGGTCATCGTGATGTGTTTGGGGTTAGGGTTTGGTGGGTCATCGTGATAATGTGTTGTGTTTGGGGTTAAAGTTTGGTGGGTCATCGTGATAATGTGTTGTGTTTGGGGTTAGAATTTGGTGGGTCATCGTGATAATGTGTTGTGTTTGGGGTTAGAATTTGGTGGGTCATCGTGATAATGTGTTGTGTTTGGGGTTAGGGTTTGGTGGGTCATCGTGATGCTGTGTTGTGTTTGGGGTTAGGGTTTGGTGGGTCATCGTGATAATGTGTTGTGTTTGGGGTTAGAATTTGGTGGGTCATCGTGATACTGTGTTGTGTTTGGGGTTAGGGTTTGGTGGGTCATCGTGATGTGTTTGGGGTTAGGGTTTAGTGGGTCATCGTGATAATGTGTTGTGTTTGGGGTTAGAATTTGGTGGGTCATCGTGATAATGTGTTGTGTTTGGGGTTAGAATTTGGTGGGTCATCGTGATGCTGTGTTGTGTTTGGGATTAGGGTTTGGTGGGTCATCGTCTCGCTGTGTGTTTGGGGTTAGAGTTTGGTGGGTCATCATCTCGCTGTGTTGTGTCTCGGTGGTCATTGCGCCCTTACTAGCATTGACATGGGACTCGGTGCAGTCGAGTCGGCGCATCTCGCGGGCGTAGTAGTCATCGTCGAGCGACGACGACGATGGGTCCCAAGCCCCGCCGTGCTGATAATGATGCTGATGCTGCTGCCTCTCATGCCGTCGCTTGAGTTCCGCGGTCCACTCGAGTGTGGCGTTGTACAGCGCCATTGCCTCTGCAGCATGGCGAGACACAGCGAGTGCGACGGCTGTCACTCTACTTCGCAGGGAGATGGCCAAACTTATTGACCCCCACGACCTACAAACTCAATTTATTCTTACAACTGAGAGCCACAAGACACGGGAATACTCGTGTGTGTGTGTGTGTTTATACATGTTGGACTTCTCTTGCACCGTACGTAGCCAACTGTGCTAATCGGAGGTTAACGCGGTTGGCTCTGCTGTGGACGCTGGGTACCAAACGCGAGTATCCCCTGGGGCGCCCCCACGTTAATTTTTTTTTCCCGTTTCAAATAAAGTTATTGTGAAAAGATGCAAATTTTTTAAAAATCTGTTTCTCTCTATCGAGGACGATTTGAACTGCCCGGGAGGCTGCGTGTGTCTTGCGAGCCGCGGTCTGAACTTCCTCGGCTTCCGGAAAACTCTGGGCCCTCTCTGGCACTGGGTCAGCAATGCAGATTGGCGCAGCCAAATGCTCGTTTGAGCGTGCAGAAGACTTCTAAACAATCATTGCATTATACTTTTTTGTTAACTATGTCGAGAGCCTCGAGCAAAGGCGCTCTATAAATATAATCTAAGATAAGATTAGCGCGGAAAAAAAAATGCCGTGGGGATCGAGGGGTTGCTGCTTGAGATGCCTGATAAATTTATTTATGGCCTATGTTATTCACCCCGTCTCCTTAGTGGCTCCACTTGGCGTGTTCCACGTGAGTCCATTTGGCTCATTTTCCCTGATCACTAACAGCACTTGCCCCAACAGTCCGTTCAAGGCTGTACGGAGGGGATCGCTGTCTTTGGTGTACTTACGGGCGCTGGGCTTGAGGTCGCCCTCGTGTGCCCGCGGAAGCTGCGGAGGCTCGCTCAGGCCCAGCTTGCTCAGGATCTGACCCCGGACGGCCTCGAGGCGCCGCCGCGCCATCTCGGGGGCATCCAGCGCCGCGGAGCACGTGGAGAAGGCGTGCGTGCACGCGCACATGCACGCACACAGCACCAGGCACGTGCGCAGCATCCCGTGCGTGCGTGCATCCATCGTTCGCGCGTGTGCGTCCGGAGAGGTCGGCAGGATCCTGCGGATATGCACGGGAGGGCGGGGTCACGGAAAGGCCCCATCGGACTCGGCATGCAGAGTAAAACCTGACGCGGTTTTTCTTAACACGATCGACAATTTCACTCAGATGGGCAAGGATGAACCTCATACAAGCTGGAAGGAAGCAATCCACATACGGTGAGCCGGCACAACCAATAATTGTCTATAGAGCAAGGCGTTGTCGGGCAATTAATGAGTGGTTGCATGTGGGAGGAAACTGGAGCACCCGGATAAAATCCGCATGTGCCAGGGGGAAACACTCGATCCCAGAGACGGAACAGGCAGAGTCCACATATTTTCTGCGCCGCATTCTCACGAGCCAGGGTATGGCACCTTGATGCCCATGGGGAAGGGAGTTTCACAACATTTGCGTGTGAGCCACCAACTCCTCGCTGCCTCCACAGTTGCTGGATTACAGACCACTTGCAGTGTAGCCACCACCGCACGGCTGAAAGGCGCTTGGTCTACCGACAGAGACGTGGCGACGATTTTGATGCTGTTGTTGAGAAGTAGGCATGGGAGCAATGTGAATTAAGTTCGGCGATCTAACCCAAAAACCTCTTGTGGATAATATTGGTCGCGAAAGCCTACGTGTTAAACTAAGTTCATCTGCTCGCCAGAAGACAGGGGACGGGGTGATTAACTGTGTCTCTGAAATGTTTGTTTCCAAATACATGGTGGGGGATGTAATCCCTGCCCAGACCTTCTTGGCTGTCTGGTAGCAGTGAGAGCATAGCTGATTGCATTGGATGTTCAGGAGAAGTGACGTAACATAGCTCATTTGCGTATGCATGAGTGGAACGAAACAGGAGGATTTGTCCACAAATCTGGCAGTCGCCTGATGAAGCTAGTTGTAATTACTGGCGAAACGTCGTACTTAGATCGTAAATGTTGTGGATTTGCTCTCCAACACACCAGTGTGTTGTACTAGTAACGAATTGGCATGTTCTGTTTACGTGACAAACCTTAAGTAATTGGCTGTGTCGGGTGGTGACGGGTTTAACGACACATTTATATTTACGTGATCTAACCCAAACAACCTATATTATGGATGATATTGGTCGCGAAAGCCTACGTGTTAAACATGCATGAGTGGTCGGAGAATGCTGAATGATCAGGGACACCTCAGGTGGTATCTCACGTGGTTATGACCATTCGTTTATTTTGCGTAACGAGGTTTTAGAACTCCCAGAGACCAGGACAGAGTCTCATTTGCAAGAGTGGATCGCCAAAATGACAAAAGCAATACTGTACAACAATGAAGCAAACAGTAAATCAGGGCAAAAGCAACCGTCTTCACAGACAAAATAGAAAACGGTGCACAATCATCGCAGGCAGCTTACACTCCGTCCACACCCAGTTATTCACAAAAAAATAATACGCAACTTGTTTCTGCGAGGCACCAGGTTCGAGACGAGTTTATTTTCTACCAGGTGAGAAACTGTCGAGGCCAGGATAAGAGTCTAATTTTGCAAGGGTGACCCGGCTCATCACAATGTCGAGCAGTTGCATTGCACAGGACACGCGCACGAGGGGTTGGGTCAAATCGCACAAACCGGGCAGCGATGTGGAGCCATCACTAGTGGATTGAAATAGGTATGTGTCTAAACTAACCTGAAATATTTTTTTGGTTTACTAGGTAAGGCCCATTGAGATATATGCAGCTCTTTTGCAGAAGCAACCTGGCCACAAATGATAGCTCAACAAAGTGGCTTATCACGCAGAAATGTATAGCAGCCAAATACTCTCAGCGCATATTTCTAAATGTGGAGGGAAAAACCCGAGGACCCGGAGAAAAATTAACGTGACCACGTGAGAGAGAGAGAGACACGCAGACTCCAAATATACAGGCATCAGGGTCGATGTCGAACCCACGACCTCCTGTATAACCAACAAGGGAGATAAAATCTCGCCACCGCGGCGTCTGTGCCTGGTAGCCACAGCAATAGCGAAGAGGTGCTGTTTACTGGATGTGCTGTGTTTATTTTCTGGGTCCAAGACCCAGACAGACCCGAATGAAATTAAGCCATGGGAGAGAAAAAAAATCCTCAAGCGCAAGGATGATCAAGGTGAGTTGAACCCTTTACCTGTTCTCAATGGATGGCACCGCTGCTGATGAACAGCCAATTGGGGGATTATTCGAAGTGCGGGGTTTGATATCGTGAGAAAGATTATGGAATTAACCAGGAGAGATGGCAGAAGGAATGTTGACATTGAAATGGCACTGGAGCACCATAAACCAGCGGTCCCCAACCTTTTTGGCACCAGGGACCGGTTTCGTGGAATATTTTTTTCACGGAGCGGGGGGCGGGGGGTTCATCATTGGGACTTTCCCCCTTTTCAAAGAAGCTCTCCAGCGACATTTGTTTTTTATTCATTTTGGCTACTAGGGGTTAGAGCTTGTGGGCTTTATATCAAAACTGTGACTGAGACAAGTGCGCAGTGCGGGAAAGAGGCGCGGAGGAAAGTGGTGAATAATAAAATAATGGGGGTGGGCCACGTGCGGACTCACCGCTCTCACCTCCAGCTGTGCGGCCCGGTTCCTAACAGGCCACGGACCGGTACCGGTCTGTGGTCCCGGGGGTTGGGGACCCCTGCCATAGACAACATCTAAATAAGGCGATAATCTTACCTTAAACACATAGCGTGGACAAACATATCTCGACATTCTCCCATACGGCAGCGTCAGTGGGGGGCTCGATGCCACCAAAGAAGATTGGAACTGAGAATCACGCTCCCGGAAGTGTCTTTTTGGGTTCGAAGATTGTCGAGAACTGGGAGTCACTCCCACAGGTCTATGGGAGAGAAGATTATATCTGCATCTGGGAATCACACTGCCAGAAGCGGATGGTGGGCTAAGCCAGAGACAGATACAGTTGGAAGGTGGCCATGAGCAGGCTGGCAGCGTGTGGCTCCCTGTGGCAAGCGTGACTCTACAGCCGACGGTTGCCAATCTAAACCGAAGACAAAGATCCCCCCGTGTAGCCTTAACAGAGTGTTGGGGCAAGTGCTGTTAGCGAGCACCTATAAAGCTTGGCACGGAACACGAAGGGGGTAGGTGGCCAACACCACGCCCGGCCGCCTTTGTCTCCCCAGTGACGATGTTTACACACTGCACCAGGTACTCATATGAGGATCAGTCAACCTAGGGGAGGCCCAGGACCGGTTCAGATAACCGTCACCGGTGCCGGCCGTGATTGGGAATGGAACTCGGGTCGCCGGCTTCGTGGCGCAGTGCGCTAACCGCTCCCATACCGCTCCCCACACACAAACACGAGCAGCCCCAATCCAGCGGCGTGGCCGAATCTGCTGACATTGGCCCTGGAGCGAGGAAAATTGCCCTACCCCACCCACTCAGTGTCCAGTTTTGCCCGCTCTTCGTAGCCCGGGGGGCGCCTGGGCACCACTGGCCCGCGAATCTCTTGCGCAGTTGCACCGCCTGCACACTCGCCAGCTACGCCACTGGCCCGGAGGGCACACACAGAGAGAGAGACACGAGGATGCCCCACGCTCGTGGTTGTGCCGCCTCCTCCCTTGGGGAGCCAGGCAGCGCCAAGACATTGCCTCTAAAATGAAGCTGAGCACAATTTGACGTGATGAGTAATTCGCACTAGACGCTGCCCTATGTATATCTTAGAGTGCTTGTTTGCGTGATTACTCCTCGCTGATGTTATCTCTTGCGTGGTGAGGACTTTATAACCAAGTGAGAATCGGCTGGGATGAAACGTCCATTTTGCAAGGGAGTTCGAGAACGAACATAGCAGACTGGTTAGGTATCAATCTTGATTTGAAGCTTTCGTGACTGCAGGAATCCATGACTTTACCGAATGAACCAAAGAGTATGGCTAGGTATCATCACTGGCCACAAGGCATCATCACTCGCCACTGATGTTAGCCGCGGCTGGGAAATTGTTTCACACAGGTGGGGTAACCGGGGTTCGTAGTGAAGTGCGCTAACCACTGCGCCACCGCTCAACCAGACTGTCTTGGTGGACTACTCATTGCGAGATCCAGAGATGCAGCAATGTCCGCTCCATGGAAGGAGAATTTCCAAAATCCAGGGTTTACAATAATTAATCTTTCAAACGTTGCATTTAAAGTACCCCGCACCTCCGATTAGCACAGTTGGCTACGTACGGTGCGAAAGAAGTTCAACATACATACATACAGGGAGCCGATAGGCTTATCTTGGCATTGCACTGAGCGACAGGAGAGGAGAAGAAAGGCTTGATTTAGAGACTATAAACCGGTTAGACGCATCATGTTGACTGCGAAGACAACATTTGGCTTGTTGCAGGACACAGTCGCTGGAAGGGTCGATGGCCGAGTGGCTGAGACGGACACACAGCAGTGAATACGGCCCTCGAGCCAACCCGCAAAGGAGATGGAGCGACGAAATCGGATCGGGGCCCAGCAGCTGAGACGCATTGTTGTCGCACGTCCAAGAGCCGCGTGAGTTGGCGACTTCCTTGCGAAAGAGGCCTTCTTCATCCAGCAGTGGATTGATCATATCAAGGCTGATGACGGTGGATTGTGTCCAGGGAATGGATGCTATGTCTGTCCGTCGTTCCGAGGACACTTTTGCTTCCTTCACAAAAAACGACACCCCCAGGCTACAAATCTATTGAGACCACGGGCCGACGCCATGGCCCAGGTCTGGTAACGTTTTTGGACAAGATTGCCATAAAAATAGATTTGGGGTGTTTTTTGAAGTTGTCTTTGCATCTGTCTGTAGCTCTTTGTAAAGATTATCATATGTGAGCCAAACTGTGCTGTAAAGGTAGTGTTGCCATTAGGATCGTATCCTATTTGAAAGCCCCAAAAAATTAATGGAATCATTGCCCAAAACTCAAAGAGACATAAAACCGGCGCTAACGCGTTTTGCCTTGACAGCTACCCGTGCACTTCCGTACATTTGATGACAAACTAAACATTTTTTTAAGACAAACGCATTTTAGAAAGCATGGCATAACCCATGCGCGTGCATGAATTTTCTTCCTTATCACACACACACACATACAACCCTAAAGATTCCCGATTCCCCGGATAGCCTTAGCAGCCTGTTGGGCGAGCACCTATGAAGGCCGGCACCACGCCGGGCCGCCTTTGTCTCCCTAAGCGACGATTATTTACACACCGCACCATGTACTCGTTCGAGGCCAAGGATCGGTTCAGATAATTTCGTCACTGGTGGCGGACTGTGATCGGGAATCGAACTCGGTCACCGGTGTTTGTAGCGCATTACGCTACCGGCCCCCAGCCTTGCTTATTATATACGCACACACACACTCGCTATCGTTATTATACACGCACACACACACACTCGCTATCGTTATTATACACACACACTCGCTATCCTTATTATACACACACACACGCTATCGTTATTATACACGCACACACACACACTCGCTATCGTTATTATACACGCACACACACACACTCGCTATCGTTATTATACACGCACACACACACACTCGCTATCGTTATTATACACGCACACACACACACACTCGCTATCGTTATTATACACGCACACACACACACTCGCTATCGTTATTATACACACACACTATCGTTATTATACACGCACACACTCGCTATCGTTATTATACACGCACACACACACACTTGCTATCGTTATTATACACACACACACACTCGCTATCGTTATTATACACACACACTATCGTTATTATACACGCACACACACAATTGCTATCGTTATTATACACACACACTCGCTATCGTTATTATACACGCACACACACACACTCGCTATCGTTATTATACACACACACACACTCGCTATCGTTATTATACACACACACACACTCGCTATCGTTATTATACACGCACACACACACACACTCGCTATCGTTATTATACACACACACACTCGCTATCGTTATTATACACACACACACTCGCTATCGTTATTATACACACACACACTCGCTATCGTCATGTCACCAGCGCGCACAGCACATAGGCTGTATATTATATACAATATACCGTGCGTATGCTGCCCGTGTAAACCAAAGGGAGCGGGAGAATCAATAAAACAAAACGATTACAAACACGAGTCTCGTTCTCATTATGGTGCTGGCAACGTGGCACCAATAGGGGCAGTGTGAAAACAAAATCACTTGCTGTACTCTACCGCTGTGCTCCCTGTCTTCACCAACACAGTACCACGCACACCAATCAATACACCAATTGGCCAGCATGGTGAGGTATGGTCAAACAAATCGAATATCGGTGAAAGGAGAAGCTTCATTTGGCCAATGGGATAGAGGAACACACGCGTGTCACTTTAGCCTCACGAACATCTACTTTGCAAAGCGCCTCCACATTTCGATCTCTCCACATGAAAGATATTGAAGTATTTGTACAAATCCCCGTTCAGTTGCAAGGCCTTCTCGGAGCGTGCATACTTTCAACAGCATTGGGTTCAACACACAATCAGAAACCCCTTGGACCCGGTGTGGATATTCAGTGTCTCTTGCCGCCAGAGACATCAACAGGAGAGAATCTCCCCCCTCTCTGTTAGACGTTGCTCCGTGCGTTAACTGGGTTGCCTGCCATAGGAACGTGGAATGTCCACGACTGTTATAGGGCCAACCCAAACAGAAATTGGGGACGCTTTCCCATTACGACCGGCTTGAGCCTTGGGCTTCACTGCACAGCTGTTTTCGAGGCTTACAGCCAGCACAATGAGTCGCTGTGCTTACAATGAGTAACAGCTGGCCGAAGCTCGCACGCTACGGTTGTTATACGGCGATTATAATGTAACACACATCGGTGTTCGTACGCATAGCAGGGGGAACACCCCCCAAACACGTACAGCGCCTCTACAATACACTGCTGGATGAGGGTCCGCCTCTCCCACCCCCACACCGTGCGAGTCGTCGGAGGTTGCTTGACCATACTTCACCGCGCCTGGTCAGTGAAGGTTAACGAAGGCGAGAAGCATTAGTCGATTCGTGCGATCCCCGCAATGCACCAAGCTGTTCTCTGGTGTCCACCACGCGGCACCGCAGCCGATGGCACCTGCTACGGATGGTGGTCACCCATCCCAACACTATCAAAGCTCCAAAAAAAAAACCCTGGTTTAGCTTTCGAGGTGTGAAGAGATCAGGCGCACGAATTGGTTTGGCTTCACCACCGTTCTCCGTCCACCGCACCTCCGAGTAGCACGGTTGGCTACGTACGGTGCGAAGTCCAACGCACGTGCTGGGTGATAGAACCGAAGCCCTAACATACCACAGTGTTGATTTGAAGCTTTCGGTAAAGTCACAGCAAGAAGGAGCTCTTTTCTTGCTGTGGCTGTCCCACCTGATGACGATTGCTTGTGCTGCGATGGAAACGTCGTGATCTATTACGTTTCTACCCACGTGACTTTACCGAAAGATCCCAAAGACTATGCAACAGTGGTTAGACAAATGCTTTGCTTGACAGCTGCCGGTCGCAAAGTACTCAAGCGGCACCACGTGCTGAAATGCTCAGAGCGGCCACAACATCTGACACCAACGATGCGCTGTGTACTCGAGTGCTCTATGGCTGACAGACAACTCTGCTGAACGTGCGAGCCAGTAACCTACCCACCTGCCTTCGTGTGTAGCAGCAGTGACGAGCGCACTACGATCGACAGCTGTCAAACATGGGAATAGGTTTTACCCTTTTAACTGGCACAAAAAAAACTGACACCTTTATTCAAGGTATCATGTTTGCAATAACCACAACACAAGCAGTCAAAATGCAAACAAAAAAGAGACAACTCTGATAATAATATGCACTGTCTTTGAATTTGATTGGTCCACACCCGAGACGGCTTTTCTTAGAGCCCTTTAGTCTCCACTGGTGTTGGACCAGAAGACGCCAAAAGGCGTACAACTCAAAAACAGCGCACTATCAGAGTATTGAGAGCTCGGGGTAAGCCTTTACATTATGATACCTCCTTTGCCAGTAACAAGATATAGGAATAGGTTTTTACCCTTTTAGCTGGGTAAAACCTATTCCTATATCTTGTTACTGGCAAAAGCTGTCAAACAGCCGTCAAAATGCAACAATCGCTGTCTTCATTCATACGCAGCGATGCGTTTCGGTGACGGCGGCAGCACCAGCGACCCCGACGCGCGTTACGCACGCGGGGCAGTCCCCCGTTAACGTCGACTCGCCCCGCGCTCAGGAATAATGATGCGCGGAGTGGCGGCCGAAGAACGGACAGTGTCCGTCAGGACGTCCGCGTGGTGGAGATGGAGCGATTCAATCGTCGCGTTTTTGCAGTGATGATACCTACGGCTATGGGAGGTGGGGGGGAGGTGGGGAAGGGTGCTCGTGAGGCATTCATCCAGCAGTGGATTCACAAGGCTGCTGTGCGTGTGATCGCGCAGGGACTGCGAGAGAAGGAGCCAACAACGGGTGCCTGGAGCAGCGGCAGCAGCGCGCGTTTTGGTTACAAAAGTTCCCGACGTTAAGACATTTACGACGCGAAATAATCCTCATCTATTGCGTTGCGTGCAGAATAAGCAAAACCTATTTCAATAACAGCAAAGATAAAGAAGAGCTCCCGTATCGCCTGGAACGGAATGTTGGGTGCAAGCGATGTCAGCGAGCACCTATTGAAGCACGGCACGGCACACGAGGGTGTGTGTGTGTGTGACCAGCACCAAGCCCGGCCGCCTTTGTCTCCCCAGTGGCGATGTCTACACGTCGCACCAGCTACTCATTTGAGGCTGAGTCGACCTAGGTGACGCCCAGGACCGGCTCAAAGGCACTCGGCACTGGTGTTGGGGGTGTCCGTGAGCGGGAATCGAACTCGGGTTGCCGGGTTCGCGGCGCAGCAGAATGACAGTCACAACGCGTCGTCCTACTGTGACGGAATGACAGCTGTCAAACAGCTGACGATGCTGTCCTCGTGTGTGCTTGACGTGGAGCCGTATCGACAGCCGGTAGGTAGTCGATTTAATTATAAACTATGGGGTTTTTATTTTAATTTTACCAGTTAAGGCCTACTGAGCTGTATGGCTCTTTTTTAAGAAACGACCTTGCTGACAAATGATGGCTCGTCGAAGTGGCTTACCACGTGGAAATGTATCGCAGGCAAATACGGCACTGTGATCGCACGTTCTTGATTCGAAGCGTGGACGGGAACACCGGTGGACCCGGAGAAAAATCCCCGCGACCACGGGGAGAGAGAGAGAAACACGCAAACTCCAAATATACAGCAGCAGGCATCAGGGTCTGGATCGAACCCACGCCCTCCTGTATACCAAGCGAGGTAGTTAACATCTCCTAGCCACCGTGATGATGATGAGAGACACGCAAACTCCAAATATACAGCAGCAGGCGTCAGGGTCGGGATCGAACCCACGCCCTCCTGTACACCAGGCGAGGTAGTTAACATCTCCTAGCCACCGTGATGATGATGAGAGAGAGACACGCAAACTCCAAATATACAGCAGCAGGCGTCAGGGTCGGGATCGAACCCACAACCTCCTGTATACCGAGCGAGGGAGTTAACATCTCCTAGCCACCGTGATGATGATGAGAGAGAGACACGCAAACGCCAAATATACAGCAGCAACCGGCGTCAGGGTCGGGATCGAACCCACAACCTCCTGTACACCAGGCGAGGTAGTTAACATCCCCTCGCCACCGTGATGATGATGGTGAGAGAGAGACACGCAAACGCCAAATATACAGCAGCAACAGGCGTCAGGGTCGGGATCGAACCCACGCCCTCCTTGCTGTGTTGTAAGCCCAGGACGGTCTCACCTGTACTTGCCGTCAGCCTCAAACCGAAGATTTTCACTCTGAGTGTGCGCTGGAATCTTCCACCGGCGCGGCTGTCCGGACACCGACAGCAGCAGCAGCAGCCAGGGCCACGGAGGAGAACACACACACAGAGAGAGAGAGAGAGAAGCCGCCACACTGAGAAGTCACACTCTGTGCGGCTGTCCAACACCGCGCACCCTTGAGCGGTGTTGACATTTTATAGTCGGCTGCTGGCGCTCTGCGAGTTTCTCGTTCGCTCTCCGGCTCGTGACGCGGAGTGGGAAGCACCCCGGAGCCCCTTCGGCGGTGACGGCGCCCAACAAACCGACACAAAAAAAAACCTCGCCTCCGTCCTAGTGAGCGAGCGCCAAACAAATACAACGCTTGAAACAAACAAAAAATATACATAAGAATCGGATTTTTTTCTTTTCTGGTGCCCAAACACCAAATGGCCAACTTTTGCAAGGAATCGTGTCTGCATTAACCGCACACGGTGCTTTTGGTGAACATGCAAACAAAACACGCTCCGATGATGATTTGATACTGGAGGAAAAGGTCCGATTTTGAAAACAACGATATTTGTATTTCCATCACCCTCGCGTACGATGGCAGCGGGCAAAATGTTGTTCAAGGAGGTCGATTTCACTGTCGAGGGCTGCATCTGATTGCCACGACCAGAGAGAGAGAGGGTTTCCCTTCGAGGAGAGAGCGGAGTTCGTGTGGCTTTTGCTGTTCCTCCTCGGTCGTCGAAGGAGCGCAGACCACAGTGGTTTCGCGTAGGGCCCCGTTGTTTGGGTTGCGTGGCCACAAAAGCGCTTTCTGTGGCTTGACTTTAATGTTACGCGTATCTATGCATTCACATCTGTCTGTATGCATCTCTATGACTGTCTGTGTGTCTCTGTGTGTCTCTATGGGTGGGGAGCGGTGGTGTAGCGGTTAGCGCTACGCTGCGCAATGAACCCGGCGACACGGGTTCGATTCCCGTTCACGGCCAACACCAGTGACGATTATCTTAACCGGTCCCGGGCCTCCCCTAGGTCGACTCAGCCTCCAATGAATACCTGGTGCAGTGTGTAAACATTACCACTAGGGAGACAAAGGCGGTCGGGCGTGATGCCGGCCACCCACCCCTCGTGTACCGTTACCGGCCTTCATAGGTGCTCGCTAACAGCACTTGCCCCTACAGTCTGTTAAGGCTATATGGGGGATCTTTGTCTCTATGAGTGCGCTACGTATTTATCGCCCTGCTGTGGCGCGTGTGTTGTGGATGTCCTGATGCAGTTGATGGTTCCACCAAAAAATACAAAACAATCATTCACGTCGGGGAAAGGGGCGCCTTGTTTATAAACATCTGGGCAGCTGCTGATGAGACACTGAATGTCGAAGCCGGTCCAGAGTTTGTGCCTGGTTTGAACCAATACAGCTGATACGATACACTTCGATAAGAACACCTTATGGTGAATGGGATGCGTTTATTTTTTTTGCGGAGGGACAGATATAGCAAAGAGGTGAATTGTCTGCGTGTTTATTTACCACAGTTTAGCATTCCAGCGCCGCTGACCTGCAGCTGCGCTTCAACCCGCGTTAGAACTCCGACTAATTGCGACTTGCCATGCATCTCTCAATCCTTCACTCACACTCAACTGACGGTCTACGGATCTCTGAGCGAGTGTGTGGCTCTCTGTGAGTCTATGGGCTTCCCTCTGAGTCTCTGAGTGCCACCGCATTGCACTCTAAACACAACGTTCATGGAGTGGCATCACGGAATATACCACGAGGGAGATAAAGGCGGCCGGGCGTGGTGCTGGCCACTCACCCACCCCCTCGTGTGCCGTGCGGGCCTTCACATGTGTTCGCCGACAACACTTGCCCCCGAAGTCTGTTAATATTGCACGGGGGATCTTTATCTTTGTTGAATCGTAAAGGATTTAGGTCCATACGGCTGCAGTGTGGCTCAAAAAATAAGGACACATCGGGTTATTTCATTTATTTTAACACTGAAATTAAACTATTTTATTGCGTTTTATTTCACGTTTACAGCAATGGGACGTCACGACGCTCGTGTCAGAAAAGCCCCCCCAAGGCGGTCACAAAGTCGTCACCCGGTGTTTGTTTACGACGGCGTGTTTTATTACAGCGCACCAAGACGTGCACATCAACAAACTCGACTAGTGATTGAGCCCGACGTGAGGTTCAATAACGCAGCGAGCCAACCATCGCATCGGCCGGGTGACTTGGCCAGCATCCTCCGTGGGATTGAGAGTTCAAATCCTGGTGGTGAGGAGTGGCGTTGATAAATTCATCATCTCCCCCCCACCCACCCACACACCCCCGGGGTTGACAAAACGACAACTGTCCACGGTTGATTTATCTTGATTCACACCCAGCCATACAGCAGTGCATTGTCATAAACGTCGCTCATTTTTTACGTGGTTTTATTTTAAGGCCATAGTGTTTTGACGAATACGGTTAGTTTATTGTTAACATGAGTTATGACCAAATTATGAATGTCCAGATGCAATTGGCCTCCTAAATGCTGTTGTCACGTCTCTCCCAGCGTCAACTGTGCTGTTTTCATTTATTAAACAAAAAATCATCAGTATTTTTTTTTATTAAATCAACGGTGTATCAGTTACCCTCTCACTTACAAACCGTGGCTCTGTGACTACGTGGGCTGACGTCCGCTCACGTAACACCGACATACGTATGTATTCTTTTTTTCTTGTGTATCTGGTACTCAAACGATGTGAAAGTCACGTGTAAAAGCATTCTCTAAATAAAAAAAACTACAAACCATGCTTCACCAATTGATGCGTCTTGCCGTCGAACGTAACAACTGCCTTCAACGATCCAACCCAAGAACGCCTTCTAGATGTTACTGTGCCAACTTATCCCTATTCATATTCCCCACCTTCAATAAACTATCAACTCCACCCCCCCCCCCCCCCCCCCACATTCTCTCCCCAAAGTTCCCGCAGCGTAGCTCACGATGAATATTTTATCGATATCCGAGCACCCCCTTGTGGACTAAGCGCGGAGGCGAGAGTGGAGAACGGGGGACGATGTCGGGGCCCCCTCTCTGTCCTGCAGGACGACGACACGAGGTGGGTTGGGAGTGGTGGTGGTGGTTGTTGTTGTTGGTGGTGGCTGGTGGTGGTGGTGAATCGTAAGGGGAGCGAGCGGTGGTTGCAGCGGTTAGAGCGCTGCACTACTGAACCCGGCGTCCCGAGTTCGGTTCCCGCTCACGGCCATCAACACCAGTGCTGAATATCTGAACCGATCCTGGGCTTCCCCCCCTGTGGACTCAGCCTGGTGTAGGTTGTAAACATGGGCACGGGGTAGACAAAGGCGGCCGGGCGAGGTGCTGGCTACTCACCCCACCCCTTCGTGTGTTGTGCGGGTCTTCACGGGTGCCCGCTAACAGCACTTGCCCCACATGTCTGCTGAGGTTATACGGGGGATCTTTGTTGAATCGTATAAAGGATTTAGGCCCGTAAAGGGTTTCTTTTGCAGGGTGGCTTAAAAGTCAGGACACATTGGGGTTGTTCAATTTATTTGAACACTGGCAATTAAAACATTTTAATTGTTTGTTCTTTAAGTTAATACTTTATCATTATTCAAAATGTATTTTCCTTTTCGGATGACATTTAAATAAAAATGTACTCAGCACAAACGAATTCAATTAGTTGTCACGATTCCTGATGAAGGCAGCTGTAATCTGTAAAAAAAAAGTACTAAATTAATGTCAAAAGATAATTCATGCGTACATTAATGTTAATGGTAGTCACTTTGATCATGTGTTAAAATACATGAAATAAACCTGTGTGATTTATTAAAACAAATATAAACTAATTTTATTTTACCAGGTAAGGCCCACTGAACTGAAAATCTCTTTTTCAGAAGCGACCTGGCCACAAATTATAGCTCAAACAAACATGGCTTATCGTGTGGAAATTTATAGCAGAAGCCAAATGCTCTAAACGCGTGATGTTGATTCTACATGTGGACGGAAAAACCGGAGGACCCGGAGAAAAATCCACGCGACCACAAGCAGAGACACACCGCAAACTCCAAATATACAGCAGCAGGCGTCAGGGTCTGGATTGCACTCACGACCTCCTGTATAGCGAGATCCCGTCGATGTTCTTGTTATGAGCGCTGTAAAACCGTGAAATGCACCTCACAATACCGGGAAAGTCCCTACTAACCTGGTTCACCGGAATAGTTCCTGTTGACTCCAGCATTACGATGCGTCACGCGTTTGTTCGATAATCAACATCGGGGGTTTTAAATATATTCCCTGCTACACCCCCCCCACTCCACCCAGGGGGGGGGGTAAATCAAATTAAATACCTGCTAACAGGCAGACCTCGCTTAGCGCGACCCCCGTACAACGCTGATAACTCTTGCATCTCATTAGCCACGCACAACAATACCTTGCGCATCGCTTTACCGGTATCACTTGAGGCCCCTCTAGCAGAGCTTGAGTGTGTCTTTCAGCGTATTCTCCTGCTGCATGGTGAAGGCAGGAAATCATAAGACATGGACCTGCTAAGGGGCCGTCCATAAATGACGTCACGCGATTTTGGACGATGTTTTACCCCCCCCTTCGTCACAACGACGTCACAAAAAGTCAGATCCCCCCTCAAATATGACGTCACAAAGCTCTGCCCCCCCCCCAAATAAAACATGCTTTAAATCTCTTTAAACTATTGTCATTGTAGTGCGTAATTAATGTGCCGCTGCACTCTAATGTTATAGGAGAAAACATTTATTAAAAAGTCTATTTAATTAAGTAGAACGTGTTGCCTATATTTCTTTAAAGTTGCGCATTTTTATGTGACGTCACATTTCTCACCCCCCCCCCCTCGTCACAAATGTCTGACCCCCCCCCCAGGTGCGTGACGTCATTTATGAACGGCCCCTTAGCCCCCCAAGGTCCCACGAGATCATGCTGCACGCACGTGTCAAGGACACCGCAGTACAATGTAACATTTAACTCGGCTGTGTTGGCGATGATTGTTTATGATGATGATTACTGACCAGTGTAATGATGTTGACGATTGCCTTCCGATGATCGATTTTAATCATGATGACGAGACCGGGTTGACCGGGAATGTAAGTGCTCTAACAGCTGAGCTCGTCCATTGCTTTATCACACGAGGATGCATTGAGGAGTTTGTTGGACTTGCAGATTGAGTGGGGGAAACCCCCTACATCTATTCAAACTTTAATGTGTACCTCATTATACTATGGAAAGTGGAGCTATACTGG